TTAAATCTATTGTTCAATTCCTCTTAGTAGCGTTATCTTAATTTTTGTTGAACATTTTCGAAAAAGTGCCTTATTATGCTATAGATTGTAGCTCTAGACGGCCCTACCAAATATTAATATACAATATTGCCGAATTTAATAGTGTTAGTAGTAGAAATGCCTTTTTCAAGCGTGTTTGACACGGAACCCTTGGTGACTATTGCAACTAAGGTAGTGGCAAGAAAAAATCAAAGTACAGTTTGTTGTAAGCAAACGTAAGCAAAAGTGTATAAAAATATCTAACGCACGTAATCTTCAAATTAAATAATGATAAACATACTGAAACATTTATCAAGTTTTACAGTTTGATTTTCCTTTGAAAAGTGCATTGCGTCAAGCTATCCTTAGTTTTGATCTATAACATTTATTTCCGTTAAAAAATTATAATATAAGTTTAAAATTTTTTGTAAAGACAAAGTGGCAGCGTGGTTTGAGTCCTACCACTAGCAACTTTATTTTTTTGAGATTTTTTTAAAACACAATATACTTATAAAGTTTTATAGAAATTATAAAAACATATTTAACACGTTCGTTTTGGTATGCATAACAGACGCTGGAAACGTCCTTAGAAGCAACTTTTGTGAACTCTGATTTACATTTCTTAAACGTTCAATGTGAACGTTTAAATTACAAACAGTGAACGTTGACTTAACGTTTGCTGCAAACGTTACTTTGATAGCTTTTGAACGTCCGCCCCAGCTGACAAATAACGTTCAAAAAATGTTATCATAACGTTTGTTTAGGTTGGCATAACGAACGCTGCAAACGTTATTTGTACAAACTTTTTTGAACTCTTACTACAGTTTTTGAACATTCGTTGTGAAAGTTCAAATAACAAACAGCAAACGTTTGCTGCAAACATTACTTTGATAACTCTTGAACGTCTACCTTAAACGTGTTATTACGAACACTGACGTTTACCCAAGATTTTTTTTACTTTTTAATGTATAGATTTAACCATACTTTCTATTTAAACTTAAGTTTGCTACTATTTCTAATAAAAACCCAGAATTTAACTATTAAATTACAACCAAAACCACAATTAGCTGAGCTGTTTAAAATTAACAAAAATAGTACCTCTTGCGATAAAAAAGTTAAATTATTAGTACTAGTTAGCGACCTATAGGGCATAAATAACAATTTAATTCAGTTACATCGATTTTAACAATACTTTTTCAAAACAACTTTAACAACATAAAAAATAAATACGTGTTATTCCAGTGAAAAGTACAGCTAATTCCATTAAAAACATAAAAAACATGCATGTCGTACAAAAATACCAAAATATATCATAATTCATTATAAATAAAATTCTTAACTAAAAACAAAAACAAAACTTTTTAAAATTTTATTTTTAAAATGTCATGTTGGATCTTTAAAGTAGTAAAATTATATAAATTTTTCAAGTAAATATTCATTTAATGATACAACTTATTTTAGATTTAATTAAAAATAAACTATAATTTTTTGACCAAAATTAAAAAGCATTTTTTCAAATTTTTTATTAAAAAAAAATAATAACTTATACATTTTTTTCTAAAACGAATATTATTATTGAAATTTTTATATTATTCTTGCTACTTTTAAGTACCAGGTTTACTTACTTTAAAAGAACTTTTTTATATATAAGGACTCTGTTGCAATTTATATTTAATCGAGTTGTTACCTAACATTGGAATAATGGTTTGAAGTTTTAAGAAATAGTTTTTTTTATCAATTTACATCAATTAAACAACTAGCATCTTAACAATTAAAAATTTAAAATATGTTTTTGATCTGCTCATGTAACATAGATATAACATAACATATGCAAGTCCGTACTGTCAGAACTTTCTTCAAAATGTTGCAACACGTCTTTGTTTTGAGCATTTGTTGTAAATTTTTGTCTAAATAGATAGAATAACATTTTTTTATTATAAAGACTAAATGATTAACACTATGATATGCATTAATATTAAAAATTTACTAAGATTTATTTAAGAATCAACATCAAAGGTAGAAAAAAATACAATTTTTTATGTACCTCCTAGATAATTCCACCTGATCGATTAGGAGTATAATTTAACACCTCCCTAAATTCTTTCTCCATCTGTTTGCATCCTTGACGATTAATTTTTTATAAGCCTCTAATTAAAATTTAAAATCATATACTTACAATAGTTAATAAAAGTTCTAGGAATGTTAAACGCATAACCAATTACCATAAAAAGAGATATGGTACATAATTGTTTTTGATGTTAATTAAGCATTTCATATATCACATTTTTTTAAATGTATATATTTATTTAACTTTTTAATATTATGAGATGAAACTTGTAAGTAATTTATATTAGAACAACAACTTACAAATCTTATTTAAACATTGTCTACAAGTAGTTACACACTTTTTACAGAAAAGAAACCTCAATTTAAAAAAATTTGCAAAATTAAATTTCAATTTTGGAGCAAAATTACTTGTTGCAGTTTTAAAAAATGCATATGTACTTGATGAAAGTGATTTGAGTTCAATATTTCGCTGTTTAGCGAGTTTGAATCACAAAATTTGTGGGTAAACCTAATAAGTACCATCAAGGTTTTTTAAGTTTCTTCTAAAAATCAGTAATACTTTTGTTTTTTGAAGTTTTTGTAATTGTTACAAAAAGTATCAATTGAAGTATTGTAACTTCCACTAACCATTTTCAATTTTTATGCTGACAGTTGATGAAAGATTTGACGAACTCACTTGACTTACGGATGCAGATGTTGGTTTAATAATGTCTGCAGCAGCTGACAAAATAACAGCTACACGTTCAACATGTTGCTAACATTCACTGTCTGTATATTTGATGATTTATTGTAACTATTGTATGATAATTTAACATAAATGAATACTGTATAACTTGTGATTACTTTTAAAACAACTAAAATATTTAACATAAATGTAATAAACAAAACAAGTGTAACTTTTTTATGTAAAGCAGAGTCAACTAGTCGAATCTGAGATTTGAATAGTTGACAAGTATGAAACCTGCGTTATTGCAATATTGCTTTATTATATTTATATTATGTATATTTTGTGCCTTTATATTTTAGATAATATAATAAAAACCTTACTACAAATTACTTGTATTAGCCTCGATCGGGTCTACAACAATTTTATTATATTATCTTATTAACACAATGAATCATAAAATATTCTAAAAAACTCTTCAAGATGAACCGTCAGAAGAAGAATACCTATATTGGAAAAGAATGCTACAAACATATATCTTAAAAGCTAAAGTATTAGATAAATTAGATGTTTTATTTGTACTATGAGGTGCTAAATCCTTCCCACTCAAGGTAGCTAGGAAATTTTAAAAATGGCACCGAATCAATATTTCACTTTTGAATCTTTATAATTTGCACCAAAATATTTTTATATTATCGAGATCATAAAAAAAAAAAATTTTTAATCACTTTAAAATATTTATTTTATTACATTAATTCTAAAAACTGCATCTTTATGAATATTTATATTAACAAAAAATTAAACTCAGACAACGAATATATAACATTGTTCTAAGGGCTTGTTCATATGTTTAAAAAATATTCTGCCTGGGAAAGAAAAGCAACAATAATTTAGTGTAATTTTGTTTTTTTTCCAGATGTATTATATTTCTATCTACCAAAACAAATATGTTGCTAAGGCCATTCTTTGATCTTAGACACAGACACATTAAAATATTGCATAGTTTTTGCTATTTTTATTCATAGTTTGTTGTTCTTAAAAATTTTAGTTTAGAATTAATTCAAAATTTTTCATTTGCATTATGATAAAAAATAAGATATTTATCAAGTATGAAATTAATTTAACCCTGCCTTTCTCAATCTTGCCTGGATGAACGTTAAATTCAAAAATCAAATTCTGCTTTATCTTTTTTTTTAATTTTAAGTAATGCTTAAGATTTGCAACTTGCAATTTGAAAAAAAACCTGTTGAAAAAAAAAAAAGAAAAAAACTGATTATAATATGCCTTTAACATCAAATATTTGCTCACTTTGTTTTACTCTAGTAATCGCTGTTGATGCTTTTCGTGGAATGTGTAAAAATTGTATTTTACGACAAAATAAGCCATACTATTGTTGCGAAAAAACGAAGATATGAAAAAAAAAAGGAGCTAAAAAAAATAAAAAACAAATAAAAAATGAAAAAAAAAAAAAAAAAAGGAAAAAAAAAATTGAAGCAGCCGTGGCGCAGTGGTAGCGCACTTGCCTTAGAAACGGTTGGGAAGGAGGCGTGAACTTCCTATTAAATTCTCTTGCGCGGTGCTCCGCGGTGATAAGATCGCAAGGACTTCTTAGGGCACCAAAAAAAAAAAAAAAAAAAATTGTATTAAACTTGGTTAAATTCAAGCTTTGAATGATGTTATTATTAAAAATTACCTTTTAAAAATATTGTTCAAATTCTGACGATGATTAAATTAAAAGATTTATAATAAAATCGTAGTTTTTATTTTTTTACAATTATAGATTGTAAAAAAAGTACCATAATAGGGTAATCAAAAAAGGGTTGATCTTGTGGAGAACGTTGTACAAAACATACTAAGTTCAACATAAGAAATTCGATTTTGATAATTCTAGTCCAAAACTACTCAAATTGTCTAATGTATATGCAGGCGCGGGTAGGTGTTGTGTGTGCGTGTTTAGGGGGGCAGGGGTGCAAAGATAACTTTTGCCGATTAAAAAAAAAAAAAGTCCTCGTATTTTATAATTTGCCGACTGCCTTATCGACATTTGCCGACTAACTAGCTGAGTTTATCGACTACTTGTTGGAAAGGTCAACATTTGCCGATTGATTAGTCAAAAAAGATCAATTTTGCAAACTATATAAACGACAAACCCAGTTGGGGAAAGGGGAGTCATACACCCCACCACCATCGCGCTGGCCTTGCGTATATGGAAGAACTTTGAAAATAAATGATTATCACGTGTAGTTAATGTATAAAAAACGACCTACGGGTTTTTGTGCATACGCCATTAAATTCTCGAAGACACAGTTGAAAAGACGCTGAGCATTCAATTTTATAAAAATGAATCAAAAGCTTACTTTAGACCAAATCCTACTTGCTTTTGGAATGCTTCTAACAGGCTCAATTAATTTACTTGTTATTAAATCACAGTATCAAACTACGTGAGTAATATTTTAACTTATAATTGTTTTAAACATTTTTTTTAGACATTTTCAGTGAAATTTAAATTTTTAGGTGTATACTTTAGTAAACCGTCTAAATCACATCAATTATGAATTTATATATTATTAAGAGGCCATCTGAAAAGAACGTCACCATATTATAGCGAATTTTTGACCATTTCCCCCCTCCTTTGTCACCGGTTGTCCTTTTTCCCTATACTCCCCTTGAAAACAACGTCATTGAATCCTGACTCCTCCAACCTATTTTTAACCTCAATGAAATTTTTTTCAACTCTCAATAATATTTGAATCTGCTGCTACATCTTTGAAAAAGAAAGTTTAAAATATTCTCATACATTATCTTCTTTAAAACATATATTAACGTAGATTTCCATGTTTATTATACTAAAATAAAAAATCTTTAAAGTGGCATCCTTTTCTGTAAACCATCCCGCCTCCCCTTGTCCTTTTAACCTCAACCCCCTCTCTCGGATTTGGATGACATCTTAAATGGGGAGCCCCTTAATGTAAATACATTGACT